TTGTGGCTATGTTGGAACTAACATTGATTGAAAATTCTATTAGTCATACTGCTGTGCTACACATTCTCTATAGCCGGGGGAAATTAACTTAATATGTCATTGACTATGTTTACTTTTTGTTGTTTTTGTTATTGATCCATCGGTGCATGAGCTTTTGCCCTTTGGCCCATGTATACCAGTAAATTTGAAATGTATTCTCCCCTTCCCCCCCCCCCCCCCCTCCCCCTTTTTTTTTTATTTGAAAAAAAATCTTGAGGGGTTACTACCCTTTTGCCTCTATGGACTTAAATATACGTCCCCCAATAGACTTTTAAAGACGTCCGCACCGTAGATTCCTTAAGACGTATTAATAGGTCTAAAAACATATTAATACGTCTTCAGTTTTTTTGTGTGGCCTCACTGCTAAGGACGTATGAATACGTCTTCGACTTTTCTTACAGATTGTTAAGATACGTAATTCTCGGGGTGAAATGGCAATACACATTACTTAAATCTGATCTGATCAACCAATTTACGTACAATTAAAACCCTTATCACGTGCGTTTTGGTGTATTCAGACGCGTTCCACGTTATCCTATTGCTTTGTTACCATAGAAGTGTGGTCGGTGAACGGTGCATTTTTTGCCTTGAAATATATTTATTGTTTTGCGTTAGTCTTATTTTTTTTTTAATACAAAATAGCAAGAAAACTGGTAAATTCAAGGTAATGAAGAGTTAATAGACTTTCTTTCAGGGAGTAAAGGTAAGGATCACTTTGAAATGTGTGAGTTATGAGTTGGGTTATCTTCACGGCACGCCGGCAGACACTTGTACTTCTGGTCGTCAGCAAGATAGATCATCTGACCCAGCCATCTACATCGACTGGATTGAAATGGACTCGCAATGATCAAGAAGAAGATATGGTCACGCACTGACATGATGACTGAAATTAATGTTTCTTGTATACTATACAACAGACGTGAATATGTCTGTCTATCAAAGTGTACAATACTGGTCCTATTTTCAATTCTTATTTTCATATGAATTTCTAATCTAATTGGTATCACCTCCACCTCACAATCGAAAGGTCCTGTGTTCACCCCCTACATGTTTTTTTTTTTTTAATGTAAATTTAATTTTAATCACCAAAGTATCGTTTATTTATTTTTTAAAAAATTAATAAAATGGAGAAGAATACAATTTACTATGACTAAAGTGGTAGATTTATGAATTAGATTGGTGAAAATATGAGGGGGGGGGGAGGGGGGGGGGGTTGTAATCAGTGAAAATTGTCATTCACAAGTCACGGCCTGGAGTGAAGGGATAGGCTTCTCCTAGACCAGTTCTGACGTAACCCCTGCCTCTCTTGATAGGGGTGAGTGGGTTGGGTCGTAGATTTGTCGGTCAAGTTTGTGACTCAGGGGAACGGGCCAGGGGACGGTAGGAGCCTCAGATGCCTAAACACATAACAACGGTTGAGACGACAATGAAATAGAAGCAGGAAGAATCAAAATTGTCTTGCAATATCCACCTGCAAGGAATGTAAAGCGGTTGAAACATTCAAAGAATGTTCCTGCTGACGACTGGAAGGCTACTGTTGTGTTCCCTGTGTTTCTACTACATATGTGGTAGCGGTGGAGACAAATAGAGACTTAGCTGAGGATACATTTTCTTTCACTAACCCGAGTTATCATATCAAGCGCCACGACGGACTGGAAAAAATTATAGCAGAAGGCAGGGTACCAGAAAGGAGGGGCAGGGGCCGACCGACACAAAGATGGGAACAGGATATAAGTGATTCCTTGAGTGTGAAAGGGCATGAGGTGGGAGAAGTGGCAAGAGACAGAGTTTCTTTCAGGCAGACTGTGATGAGAGCGATGTTCTGCAAAGGACCTGCTACATAATGATGATGAACCCGAGTGAAGCCGGGCAAATAAGTGTTGTTTCTAGTGTTTCCTTTCAGTAAATGTGTTTCTTGGCGTCGCCATAGCACGTCTGATTTGTTAGCACTCGGGCTATCACCTACTTACGTAGGGTTAATATTTTCAGATGTATAAAGAGCGGGGAACTTGCTTAGCACAGTGGAAACATTCGCTGGCGGAGTACATAGCAGCGAAAGCGTTAAGTCTGAGAAAGCTGGTGCCAAGTGTTGAAAACGTGTTTTTGGTCGGAAATTAGTGTGGTGGACTTGGAATGTGCTATGTAGATGCTGATATTCACAGCCTAGGATTCCATCTTCTCCACCTTTTTCTTTGTGTTCACCAGCTGTAAACTCCTATTAAAACTTCTGATTGTTTATCCACTTTTGGACTTTGGTCTTTTTCCAGAACTTGAGTTAGTATGTGCATCTGTTTTATTTGTATGCAGACTGTTGGTTCCTCACCTCTCAGGCAGAGACAATCTGACTTTGAAGGAAACCCTTTAATTAGTCGCTTAGTCTGACATGCTACATTGGTGGGCGGGGGGGGGGGCGCAGTGGATCTGCTCTTCCCCCAACCCCTTCCCAAAAAGGGCCCCAAAACCCGCAAGATTAGAGGTTCCGTCTAAGGTTTTCTTGTATTGATATTTAGCATGAGCAGCAGTCTATATGTCCTGTTCTGTTTATTAGGACAGGATTTTTTGATGCCTATGGATCCTTCATGTTTTTCACCCATTTTCAAGAAGGTTAGATGTCTAATCCACTGGGGAGGAAAGTGTTCTTTTTTCTAATTTTTACAATCTATACCTTCCTCGCTGTGATTCAAACCAGGTTTGCTTGAGTTAGAGGTGTACATATCCACCTAGCTCTCTGTATTCTGGGTATTGCTAAAGAGTCATACATTATTGAAGTATTTGGGAAAGTTTATATTATATGTTAATCAATAAATTATTGAAGTATTTGGGAAAGTTTATATTATATGTTAAACAATAAATTATTGAAGTATTTGAGGAAGTTCATATCATGTGTTAAAATGTTCATTATTGAAGTACTTTGGAACGTTTTTGTCATATATTAAAACATACAATATTGAAGTATTTGGGAAAGTTTGTGTCATATATTAAAACATACAATTTTGAAGTATTTGGGAAAGTTTATATCATATGTTAAAACATACGTTATTGAAGTATTTGGGGAAGTTTATATTTAAAAAAAATGTTGATATATGTGCAGCCATTTCTTCTTTATACTGATATCTGAGAGATATCCAAATAATATAACTCTTTAAGTAAGGAACAATGCGTCATATGTGACTTGATAATATTGTTAACCTGACAACATCTTGTGTATATTTCTGTTCTCTTACGTTTAGTCAGGGCAACACTCTCTCCTACATTGTGCTGTACGTTTAGGCGCTGAGGACTTAGTATACCTATAATTATGTTACCATTACTGTCACAGCTGGCCGTTAGCTATGATCTTCTGAGACTGAAAGAATTGTGTTGTGTTCTTGATTTAGTAACCTTCCAACTTGGTGAATCTATACACTGTCTGTTTTGAAGAGTTAATCTCAGTAACCTTCCAACTTGGTGAATCCATACACTGTCTGTTTTGAAGAGTAAGTCTCAATAACCTTCCAACTTGGTGAATCCATACACTGTCTGTTTTGAAGAGTAAGTCTCAGTAACCTTCCAACTTGGTGAAACCATACACTGTCTGTTTTGAAGAGTAAGTCTCAGTAACCTTTCAACTTGGTGAAACCATACACTGTCTGTTTTGAAGAGTTAGCACAAATCAAAGGTGGGTGTTTTATTTTACAATCTGTGTTTACAGCTTATGTAAGATTAGACAGTTACTGTTATTCTGTACAAATCTTGACATTTGTGCCATCACACATCGACAACACAGTTCTCTGCAGTTGGAAATTATAAACTCGTTTGAAACAAAGAACTAGATTTTGTTTAATTTTTTTTTTATCATGGTATGGGGCGTGGCAGGTCGACTCAGCCTAAAATGGGTACCAGGATGACTGTCCTGGGAAAGTAAAGACAGCCGGCGTAATGCTGACCGCATTACCCAACGAGTGCTGATGGTTTGTAAAAATATGGGCGCTCTTCCCATATGCTTGATACGCCTAAAGGCGTGGAAAGGGATCTTTATTTTACTTTACTTTGCTTATTCTGATTTTCTTATGTATCTGTTCCTTTGTATTTTGATCTTCAGACCATGGGGGACAGCAGCCCTTAAACAGCTAAGTGACTGTTATGTAACTTTTAACTAGTTATATTATTTTCATTTTGTATTTTGTGTGCTGATGAAGGGATTCTAGCCATAACATTCATTTTGTCACTTATAATTGTATTACTGTTAAAGCTGACCAGCTTAAGTTTCAGTTTGTGTCATTTTTTTTTTTCAATCTTTTTTTTTAAACCCCTTGTGAAGTCACTTTGCTTAGCAAATTCTATGTTACATTTTAAGGAGAATAAATCCTTGGGCTGTCTCTGATTAGCTTGGTGAAAGCTGCACAAGCTGTCTGCATGATCTGCTCCAACTTTATGTTGGCAAGTCAATCTTTACCTGGCACAGGAACGGAGCACGTATGGGTTGACCTGATTGCAGTGAACTTGAAACCTCGACTAAGACTAAGACAATATATTGATGTATCATTTGCATGAAGGAAGTAACAGTTTACACTACGCATGAAATGTTGATAAAGACGTACTTTTTTTTTTTAGAGAGAGAGAGAGAACCCCATATATTTAAATATTCGGTTATTCTGATTATATTCTATTTTGTAACATTGTTTACGTTACAAAAGATATTAAAAAACTGATACTGTATTTCTGTTTAAATTTTTTGTGTAGGTAAAGGGATCAAGAAAAATAATAGCAATAATTTTTTTTTTTGCTATAAAAAATCCGCACGCATACATTACTCCAACCATCCTTGCTTTAGCTTTCAATTCTAACTTTTTAAAGGCAAATATTGCAACCAAAATATGTTTTTCTTATGGCATGGGCATAGTTTTTGTTGTGGCATGGGCATAGATTATCTTCATAAATATTTATGAATCAGCTCGTTAGACAGGGAGTTTATTTTTTGACTAGTGTGGTGGTGTAGTTGCAGGTTCCATTGATAAATCCAGACCTCCTTGTTCTCTTTGTAATAGTTGTCTTCTGACATCTGCCACTTGGGAGTCCGGTAGTTCACAGCGGCTTCGCTTTATCTAAACAAAGAAACAAAGGGAAATATTTGTGGGTGTCAATACAAGAATTGGATTGTGATTGTGTAGCAATATTAGATGTGGACAATAATACAGTGCTCTGGTGATATATGACACAGACGATAAACAGACAGCATTTCATTCTAATGGCGGGATGCTGTCCACGTCACCCACCAAGTGTTGTTTGGTCTATAAAATATAGGTCTACCCCTATATGCCCAATAGCCTAAATGCGTGGAAACAGGTCTTTTTTTTATTTATTTAATTCAAATAAACTACACTAAACGATGTCAATTTGCTTTTGCAGTGAACCCATATCTACTTCTCAACACAGAACCATTTGTACAGATTAGCACATCACATACAGGAATTTCTCATGAATCAATTGTTAAATATTTGCTACATTCTACTTCTAATTCAAGCGTGAGTCCAAAGAATCTCAGCCGTTCAGTGCACAAAATCCCTAGCACCGGGGAGGATCCTTGAATATTTTGGGTAGATTTTCAGACTGTAAATTTTGCCCGGGCAGCGCCGTTATTCTACTCCTTTCGATTTCCAACTGCCAAAGAGATTTTTTTTTTTACCTGCACAACAATACACAAGAGGCATCTGATCTTACTCCCCAGAGTCAAGGGGTAAAAGGTAGACGTCCACGTGAAAAAATCTTAGCCTGGAACTAGGACCTCTAGCACTCGAGGCGGACACCATGCCTCGAGACCCCCACTCCTCCACCTCCCCCATCTCTTATTGTGTCTTCTGCTTGCACCACCCAAGACTTTCCTCTTATCAGCTTTTGGCTTGTAGCTATATTCTTGGCTTCATGAAAATGCTGTTTTTTCCCCCTTCTTTGCTGCTTCTCTGATGGAGCCACAGTGGTGTAGTGGCTAAATGCTAGCCTGTGGATCAAAAGGTCATGGGTCTTGATGAAGCCAGACCTTTTCAAAAATGACCTTGGCTCTTAGTAGACCCGGCTTTAACTGGGTGCCAGCTAAAGTCCTGGGAAGAATCACGGCTGGCGTGACATTGACCACATCACCCTGCTCCCCCCCCCACCCCCTCCGTGTCTATAAAATATAGGTCTATTTGCCCAACATGCCTGAAAGCATGGAAAAGAGTCCTTTACTTACTCTGACCTATGACCCTTGCTTGCAGCACTTTGAGCTTGTCTGTAATTCAGCAGTGAATAGTGATTACTAATTTAAGAATATTCAGCAGGGAAAGGAGATAATGAAGACATAAATCTATCAATAATCATATCCTCTACAGAACCTCACACACTCTTCACGGTTTACCTGAAAGTCTTTCTTTCTCTAGCCAATTCTCCAACCCTGTGTGGTGTGCTTTCATAGCCACGTCTCCAACCCTGTGTGCTTTCATAGCCAATTCTCCAACCCTGTGTGGTGTGCTTTCATAGCCAATTCTCCCACCCTGTGTGGTGTGCTTTCATAGCCAATTCTCCAACCCTGTGTGCTTTCATAGCCAATTCTCCAACCCTGTGTGGTGTGCTTTCATAGTCAATTCTCCAACACTGTGTGGTGTGCTTTCATAGCCAATTCTCCAACCCTGTGTGCCTTCATAGCCAATTCTCCCACCATGTGTGCTTTTAAAGCCAATTCTCCAACCCTGTGTGCTTTTAAAGCCAATTCTCCAACCCTGTGTGGTGTGCTTTCATAGCCAATTCTCCAACCCTGTGTGGTGTGCTTTCATAGCCAATTCTCCAACCCTGTGTGGTGTGCTTTCATAGCCAATTCTCCAACACTGTGTGGTGTGCTTTCATAGCCAATTCTCCAACCCTGTGTGGTGTGCTTCCATAGTCAATTCTCCAACCATGTGTGCTTCATAGCCAATTCTCCAACCATGTGTACTTTATAGCCAATTCTCCAACCCTGTGTGGTGTGCTTTCATAGCCAATTCTCCAACCCTGTGTGGTGTGCTTTATAGCCAATTCTCCAACCCTGTGTGCTTTCATAGCCAATTCTCCAACCCTGTGTGATGTGCTTTCATAGCTAATTCTCCAACCCTGTGTGGTGTGCTTTCATAGCCAATTCTCCAACCCTGTGTGGTGTGCTTTCATAGCCAATTCTCCAACCCTGTGTGCTTTCATAGCCAATTCTCCAACCCTGTGTGCTTTCATAGCCAATTCTCCAACCATGTGTGCTTTCATAGCTAATGCATCCTTTCATAGCTAATGCATCCTCAATGCCCCTTGTCCACCTTCAGGCTCTGCCCGTTTTTCAGAAACTAAGCTCTCCTTCACCGTTCTCTCCAGACCAGCTTGGCGCTTGCCATGTCTAAAATATCTCAGTTTTCGGGAGAGGATGCTGTTTACGAGCCAGTTCTCCTTGATCTCCAGGTCATGCCAGGTGTCCACGTTTTTCTTCTTCTTGGTCTACGGTATTTGAATAATTGTTTAAAACATTTCAGTTCAAAATCTCCAGTTTCATGACATCATACTGCTAGGGTATCTTTTGTACACCCTATAATCCATCGGAATGGTAATTCTGTATGTGCACAAGCTCCATCAGCAGACTCTTTAATACTCTGAGCGGCCCTAGTCCATATATGAGGCGGTGATCTTTTTCGTCTTTTGTGGCATTCAATGGCTGTTAACTTCGGCAGAAGGTTCTAGTTATTTGTCCACTTCTTGTTACGGATCGAGCTGATCAAATGGTGGTACACTGTCAAAAGCATTATGTCTCTACCATGAGATGATAACGTACTGTAGTGTCTCTTCGACATGTATATTTATCACTAAAAATAAAATATTGAGCCAGTTTTCAAAGTCGGCGGTAACCACGACAACAGAGATAACAACAACCAGAAAACAAGAACGGGAAAAACTACCTGGATGAAACTGTCCACAGATGTTTTGATTCCGGTTTCCGCTGGCAACACGACTCGGGTGGTATAATTCACAATATGGCTGCCGATATTGAGAACACCGCCGAATTCATTCACCTCCGTGATCATGTTCAGGGTGTTTCCTGAGGAATCACGCATAGAGTTAAAGGAAATTTTAATAATGAATGCTGTTTACGGATTTGAGGTTACGAACACCATGTCGTAAATGTCATCAAATAGTTACGTCAGAACTGAAATGTTTGTGTATCATGCATGGTGTAAGAAGGAAAGATAGCTTAGGAGCGATGATATCAGGAGTCAGCATAGCAAGATACAGATGTTTGTCGTTAGATAGCAGATCAAACTGCTTGGTGATGAACAAGACTGGCCATAGACAGGGCAATACAGAGGGCAATGCTATACGGATACAGCTGTAATAGATCCAGAGGTCAACTTCACAGACGGACCGCATACGTATCGAGGACACTGAAAAGTATTATATATAAAGCTAACAGAAGGATTTGTTCCAAAAATCTCTTTCTGTCCTGATGCCGCGAGGCATCCCATAAGAAGAGAAAAGTAGATGTCATAATTAACACCCTCAGCTTTGATTCTGTTGCCTAACATTTGATAGCAAACGGGTTTGCGTTGATTACGACAACAATTTGATCGCTACACTGTTGAGGAAGCAACTGCACTTTACCGGGAAGTACTGGAATTGGGTTAAGACGTTCTGTTAAAGCAACAATGAGTATACAGTGGAGACCTTAAAGTTGACCATCTCTCGATGTTCACCATCTTCCTATCTTGACTTCATTTTCATTATCGGTTAGTGACAACATATACTAGGAAGACTACCTCTAAACGTTGACCACTTCTATAAGTTTTACCTTGACCACTTATCTGGACTATGACACACAATAGCAATTTACACGCACTGCCGACTCTGGAGATTGCAGTGTTTACACTCAATAACTTGACCAAGCAGTCTCAACTGGTGGGAACAATAAAACGCGAGGTTATACTGTCTTCAGGCAACGCAAGAATATTTTCTATTCACTTTGCAGACTCTTCGCGAACTCTGACTGTGGACTTTTGGAGAATGATCTCGGCTTCAAGATCAAAGTACGCTCTACAATTGCGCTTTTTAATTGGAGTAGAGTACACATACGCACTGCTTATTATTCCAGACATGATTTCTTTTCTCTCCCCTCCCCCCTCCCCGCCCCCGGCCACCTCCATTTTTATTCTCAAAAAGACTGAAAGAATTGATATTAAAGGAAAACGTTGATCTTCTATATTGTCTGGAAAACCGGGACTTTCACCAACAAAGATAGGATCGAAGTTTCTTTCGAAGTCAGGATGTATCTCCTTGAGAGGCAAGGATCTTGTTAATCATTAAGCCAGGTCTGTAAAACGGATGCGCACGCAAAACCCAAGTTATAGAACTAAACTGAAGCTTGTAAGTGGACGAACTATCGTCAGGTCTTTCTGCTAGAGTTTACAAGCGAAGAAGAAGAAAAGAAAAAGAAGAAGAAGGATTTGGGGGAGGGGGCGTAGAAACAGAGATGACTTGACGTATATGCTTTCTTGTTTTCCTACATTATCTACGCACCGATTTCAATTCTTAGTTCTTCCCGCTGTGTTCACTTCCCTCCCTTACTTCACTTTTGGGGATAACTCTCTCCGCTCGTCACTCCCACTGACTGGATTTCGCCAACGGCTTCCGGTTCGCTGACATAAACTATTTGTTTTCCCTCCACCCCCCCCCCTCCCCTTTTTTTTCCCTTCCCTATAATTTCCTACCCTTTTAAAAAATAGAAAACGCAGAGCGATCCATTTGAGTATTATGTAATTTATGTCACACTTTTGTTTACTGTTATGCTGCGTCACAACTGTAACATGTGAATGCGGTAATGTAGTAGTTATTTTTGTCGTTTCCTTGTTTATGTTGTTTTGTTTCTTGTAGTTGTGTCCTGGTAAAGGCTTGTTGTCGCAACGTCATTGTTATTGCAGTCACTTCATACGTATTATATAAGGCAGTCAAAGGTTACGTAGCTTCATTATGCCCCCACCCCTTTTTTTGCTTTTCCCAAACCATCGACTGCATTACAGCAGAAAATTTCCCCATATGGCTTGAGACTTCTCAGAATGGTAAGCTACCTAACTACAAACACTGCATTAAATTGCACTCATAGAAAGAAGTAGAAAGATGGAAGGACACACTAAACAAGATGCGCCCCTCCCCCCTCTTTTTTGCCTAACGAGGGTGTCTGACTAAACATGAGCTCATTAGCATCAAACCGGACCTACATGATTCTATAGAAACTGCACTCGTAAGCAAACGACGAAGACCGTGAAATGAAACCACCCCCCTCAGAGTGAGAGGCAAATGGTTTGTTTTTTCTTTCTTTCTACCTGAATGGAGGATATCCCCTCAACCAAAACATGTCTAGCCTTTTAAAGACCTGTATTTGGTTGAATAGGTTACAGATGTGAATTTTTTCTTTAGATGAGGTAGCTACCCGTTCTTTTCCGCTTCGCTAGTTATGTTGCAATGTTTGTAATATTTTCTTTTATTACCGGCCTCGGTAACATACTGGCAAATTTAGGTCCTTTACTGCTGTTCCCCCCCCCCCCTCCGGGCTGCTGACCACTCTGAGGTTATGAAATCTCAGTCTGGATAGCAAGCAACAAGGCAAATCCTAGATACCCCGTTCAAGCTCCAAAGAAGTTATACTGGAGCACCCGTTACGGTTACACCGGTCTGTTGTCAGCTGAAGTCCAGTGCGGGTACCACGTTATCTAGAACATACAGTTGCTGGAGTCAAGTTGAGCGTACATATCATGAGCTGAAAATGAGTCATATAAAGTTATGGTCAGAAAAAGTGGGGGGGGGGGGGGGGGGTGTTAAATTAACAAAGAAGTAATGGACATTAATATACCCTAAATATCAATGTCCCAGTGTGGTTTGTTATTTTAAAGACCGACATCGGCTGTCGTCGGGGATCCTAAATAGGGTTTAACGTCGTTACTGGGACTTGCGTCCGGATCATTCTCATTCGAATGGTGACACTTTGTGCCGCCGGCTGTCGATCGCTCGATGTGTGGTCCTGATGGGGTAAAACGTCAGTTAGTCTTAACGCATTTTTTGGGGGGAACATTATAATATATGTATGTATACTACTGTACGATACGCTATTGCCTGTCCCAAGCCGGGATAAGAAAAGAGGAGGGCTGGCTGTGACGCCAGTCCAACACTATAAGACAATCCTGCTACAGAAACTTCTAGTAATTGAAGTCCATTTGGCTAAAATATGTATATAAATCATCCCCCCTCCCACCCAAAAAAAAAAAAAAAAAAAAAAATGATTGCTGTATTGCTCCCGTGTCGTCCAGTTCCCACCACAACGCCCCATTTGGTAAAGAGGTTCTCAGCTCCTTCTGAATGGATCAAACATGTAGACTGCCAATGATTGCTCCCGTGTCGTCCAGTTCCACCACAACGCCCCATTTGGTAAAGAGGTCTCTCAGCTCCTTCAGTGACATCCACTAAAGAAGACAGACAAGTAAACATTGTCATGAAGAAAGTTAAGTTTCAAAAACCTAATTTCAATTACTTCTTCAAATACATCGCCACACGCTGAGGGATATAATGAAGATGGCATCCGAGCGCTTATGTGCAATGAGGATAATCTATCGATGAAACTAACTTCAGATTCACCAGGCCAGATGTGACAGGGGACGCTGTGACCTTTTCGAGTGTTGTGAGGGGCGACGTGCTCCAAAGGACCTGCTACGGGATGGGTATACAACGAAATTCTAATAATTCTACGTGTGTACAACCAACTTATCGTGCTCGACTACTTCCATCAACGACGAACTGCCTTTCTGGTGGCGACTGTTGGCTTTGGAACCCCTAGCAATTGCCATATGCGTTTACTGCGTGCGCCTATTTCTGGATTGTTCCAGATCTAATTGTTCACCAGTTTTTCAAATGGGACAGCGAGGGACATTTTATCTAATTTGCGCTGACACAGGAACAGAGCAAGTATGGGGGAAACCCGATTGCGAAAATGTTGAAACCTTGAGTAAAACTAAGATTAAGACTATCATCATCATCATGTAGCAGGTCTTTGCATAACGTCGCTCTCATCACAGTCTGCCTGAAATAAACTCGGTCTCCTGCCAGTTCTCTCGCCTCATGTACTTTCATACTCAAGGAGTCACTTAAATCCTGTGCCCATCTTCGTGTTGGTCGGCCCCTGCCCCTCCTTCCTGGTGCCATGCCTTCTGCTATAAATTTTTAGATTAAGACTAAGGCTTGTCTGGTTATTCCAGACAAAGCTTTTACGGTTAATTTACAGTATTGTCGGAGTGGTATTTCTCTGAAAACGTTTCTAACATCCCTCCATTTGACAAACATTTCCTTGATTAGTGAGAGAGGCAAGAAAAAAAAAGGTAGCGTGCAGTTTTGTGGTTCATTTTTATTCATACAAGTTCTAGCATTAAACTATTTTCCAAACAAAGGGTACATACTAAACAAAGTTTTTTTAGTCTAAAGGTAAAGTCAGGAGATGTGAATCAGCGTCAATGCACACGGTTATAAAACATAAGTGCTCTGCCACCAGTACGGACAGCTGATAAGAAACTGTCCGATTGTGTCGCCGTCCGTATGAAACTCCGCAGCTACGGCGACATTCCTCCATTTACTCCAGAGTGTCAACTCTGGTACCCATTTCCTAGAGGCTGGGTAAACCCCGGGAACCGCCGGTTTCGAACACCGGCCGTGGACTGCAGCTAGTCGCAGCTAGATCTGAAAGCGAGTCTCATATTGACTGCGCTAACGTGGCCCATCAGGACGTGTACCAAGCTGGACGTATGCCGACCGAGGCGCAGCTCTGCTTTGAAACGCGGTCTTTTTTTTTCCACAGAATTTTTTGTAAAGCTCATTTGTTTTTAGCACTTCTGTAGTAGATACTTTGTAGTGAGTACCGGCAACAATTTGAAGACATTTTGTGGCAAGTTCCGGCATCTTTCAGTCTAGAGAAAACGCCTGTTTGAAGCTACACACGCCCGCGAATGCACACATATACATGGCATACATTCACTCACTCACTTGAAACCCCAATCCACGAAATTCCGCAACTCTAGAGTTCTCATCCAACGGATTGTTGACTCCCGAGTGTCTGGCATACGTCATAGCCACCCAGTAGGTGCCGCGTCCTGACGACCGGATGTTGTCTGGCAAACCGGGCAGGTTGACGGAGAAGGGATCCACGCGGAGCCAGGAGTTTCTTTTCAGACTGACCCTGAATGAAGAGAAGATACAGATACCGTCAAATGTTGATTGAGTGTAGTTCTCTGTGATGTGTGACGTTAGGAAGTCTGCCCAAGCCTATAATGTCCACAGTGCCCCTGCTATATCGACGCTAGTGTTCTGTGTCATGTTGATTCAGTTGATTCTACTGTCCCCTACTGTGTTGATTCCAATGACGCGTCATGGGCTATAGTGACGCAAGGCGCTAGTGTTCCGTGCTTTGTTGGTCCTAGTGTTCCGTTCAATGTTGATCTTAGTGTTCTGTGCTATGTTGATCGTAGTGTTCCGTGCTTTGTTGGTCCTAGTGTTCCGTTCAATGTTGATCCTAGTGTTCTGTGCTATGTTGATCGTAGTGTTCCGTGCTTTGTTGAACCTATTGTTCTGTGATTTGTTGATCCTAGTGTTCTGTGCTATATTGACCCTAGTGCTCTGCGCTATGTTGATCCTAGCGTTCTGTAGGTTTATCCTAGTGTTCTGTGCTTAGATGATTCTAGAGTTTTATGCTATGTGTAAAGAATTCTGTAATCCAAAGGAAAGTTGACGATGGTTGTTGTAAGTTCCAGCTTTATTCAGTGCCTTTCAATACCATATCAGCGACAAACATTAACATAACAACTTCACTAAGGCCATTCAGGCAAGGTTCACTTGCTCACAGATTTGGGTATACCGCCATGCCACGGTCGACACAGACTTGCACTCGGTCAGCACAATCAACAGTCAGTAGGCCACATTCATTGTCCCCAGATACATTTCAACATGGCTTCACTACAATCATTTCGTTTCTCTTTGGGTTGACTGTCACACCTAACTCTCTGGGGTCCTGCGACAGAATCCTCTCTTGTCAGCGATTCCCTCAGATTTTTTGTTGACATGTGAGTTCAACAATTTCGTGTTTTACAGTTTCCACATTAATCTTATGTCTCTCACTCTAAGGATTTCCCCAATTCTGTCAATCAGTCAACCCCCTAAGTTATACCTATTTATGGCGTCATTACATTATGTTTATGCCAGTATCCGAGATTTGTTTTTTCTTGTATTAGGTGAATTATGGATCCTAGTGTTCTGTGAGTTGTTGATCCAGGTGTTCTACGTTATCTTTATACTAGTGTTCTGTGCTTTGTTGATTCTAGTGTTCTGTGGGTTTTGATCCTAGCTTTCTGTGCTATCTTAATCCCAGTGTTCAACAAATCATTTTTTCAGCGCCTAATCTGACAGAAAAATCTGAGGCCAGTTCATGTTTTCAGCACTAAATGTTACAGAACAATATGAGATAGTTCATTTCTTCATAGCCAAATTTAACAGAACAATAATAGGTCAGTTCATTTCTTCAGCACCAAATGTAAGAGAACAATCCGAGGCCAATTCATTTCTTTAGCGCCAAATGTAACAGAACAGTCTGAGGCCAGTTTATTTCTTTAGCGAGAAATGTAATAGAACAATCTGAAGCCAGTTCTTCAAGGCCAAATGTAACAGAACATTATGAAGCCAGTTTAATTCTTCAAGGTTAGATGTATCAGAACAAGCTGAGGCCAGTTCATTTCTTCAAGGCCAAATGTAACAGAACAATCTGAGGTCAGTTCATTTCTTCAAGGCAAAACGTAACAGAACAATCTAAGGACAGTTTATTTCTTCCAGGCCAAATGTAACAGAACAATCTGAGGCCAGTTTTTTTCTTCAACACCACATGTAACAGAAGTAAAGGATAACTTAACTAATTCTTATATGCAGGTACCTATTGTATGTGCCCAGTCAGTTGCTATAGATCTCGTTCACTGAGCTGATTCTTGAATAAAACAAGTCAGTTATTGGAGCATAAATGTAGAATGTCATAAATATAGATGTAATGTCAATCCAGTTAACCAATGCTTCTATTAGAGTAAGAACGTGCTTGTCAAAATAAAGTATTACAGCCAGGTTAAAGGGAACCGAAGGTCGTGAGTTCAGATCCTAATGAAACCGAACTTTTGTGTGTGTGACCACAGCTCCTAGGTCGACTCAACATTAAATGGGTACCAGGTAAAGTCCTGGAAAGTAAAGGCAACAGGTGTGGTGTTGGCCACATCACCAACAGAGTGCCAATTGGTCTATAAAAAATAGACATAACCCTATATGCCCAATACACCAAAAGGCATGATAAATAGTCCATTACTTTGCTTACAATATAGTTACAACAACTGTTTGAAAGCACACTTACCATTTTTGGCTTGACAATCTGTACTTCTACAGTATTATACAACTGATACCTGAGTCATACAATATTGAGGAACCAAACATTAATTTAAAAAAAAAAAATTGGAATATTACATATATATATATATATATATATATATATATATATATATATATATATATATATATATATATATATATAAAAATAAAATAACCCGGATGAGATGAACATAATATTGTTGTTTCGATTAATACTACTTCTACCACCACCAACACCACCACAACCTAACTACTACTACTACTACTACTACTACTACTACTACTACTACTACTACTACTACTACTACTACTACTACTACTACTACTACTACTACTACTACCACTACTACTACTACTACTACTACTACTGCTACTACTACTACTACTACCTCTACCACCACCAACACCACCACAACCTAACTACTACTACTACTACTACTACTACTACTACTACTATTACTACTACTACTACTACTACTACTACTACTACTACTACTACTACTACTACTACTACTACTACTACTACTACTACTACTACGACTGCTACCTGTGTATTGTCGCCCGACAGGTTTCCCCAACTAGCAAGTCTCCATCTGGCGTGAGTTCGAGTCCATTCGGGAAGTTGAAGAGTCCTAACAGAAATTCAGTCATTCGTCCTGTGGGTAGGTCTAAAGCTAGCATCCTGTCATGTGATGACAGACACACACAAATTTATAACAACGGAGTTTTAGATAAAGAACTTAACAGTTTACGTTCACAGAAAACATAACCATAGTAGTAGAGTAAATAGGAATGCATTTACTTACGGTCAATGTGATCCTCATCCGCATGGTAGCACTTTGTGTCACTAGGTGTTTACCACTTGGGTCCTGGTGGGGTACAACCACATACCTACCTTACGGTCAATAGTTTAGTCCTCAGTAATGAGTATTTGTGTGTGTTTTTGTAATACTCGAAACAGAAGCGATGGCACTTTTCGCACCTAATGCCCCTCTCCTTACACAAAATATTAGGGTGTTCGGATTACCTCCCCCCCCCCCCCGCCACTTCCCCCTTTCCTCACAAGCTATTTCTCTCAAACCGTGAATATAATCTTTTTTATCAAGCTTTTGTTTACACATTTTTTTTTTTTTTTAATTATATAATATTACATTTATGTGCCATTTAGCGCATTATTGTTATTATTATTATTATTATTATTATTATTATTATTATTATTATTATCACTATTATTATAGCGACTAGACGTTCGCCTGCGGATGGGAAGGTCGTAGGTTCAGTTCCTGCCGGGGGCCGGACTTTTTTCGAAAATGACCTTGGCTCCCAGGTCGACCCAGTCTGAGTAGGTACCAGGTACAGTCCTGAGAAGTAAAGGCTTCCGGCGTTAAGCTGACCACATCACCCACTAAGTTCCGCTTGGTTTATAAAATATCGGTTCAGTTCTAAAGACCCAATACGCCTGAAAGGCATGGAAAAGGGTCCTTTCCTTTTTTTATTACTGTTATTATTATTTTATGATTATTATGACTACTATTGTTATTATTTGTTGTATAAGAAAGTCACTCTAGCGTGTAGAGAGTTTTTATTTTTTATTTTTAAGCCAGGGCTTTGTGATGCATTATTACACTATGGTATTCATGTTGTATTGACGTGTTGTGAATGTAAACATTTGAGCCAAATAAAGTTGTGAAACAGAGGTTGCTTGACTGCAAACAAGTTGAATGGAGAATATGAGATCCATGTGTTGCTGATCGCTGTTGGCGGGAATGCATGGTACTTAATTCTGTCGCTTTTAGTCAGTATAATGTATGGACGTGTGCGCAAACTGTTCAAGTTCCAAGCACGCAGTTTTAACAGTATGTTTTATTCTGTGGGAGTTCGTAATCTGTCCAGTGAATGTGGTGGATCTCAGTTATTCTTCGGAATGCTGTTAGGCTGATTTTCCAGAATCGACTTGTTTCGGCCATGTGTGTAAGGTCGGCAAGGTTGCGGCTATGTGGCAAACTGGTTGACGGGGTGTCTTTAAGTACTACATAACATACTGTGGTCACTTTTTATGTGTTGACTAGCGTGGAGTTGTGATGGGAAGGTATCAGGAATGCTGATTAACTCGAGGTTGATCAGTGATACTTTAATGAGTGACTGGGTAGCAGACTGGAGGTCTAGATTCTTTTCACCAAGTGGTGCATCTTCCTTGGGCCCTCGGGTTGCTGGGTCTCTCTGATAGAAAACCAGAGGACTATCACTGGACATAGCAGTGCCCGTAACAGGCACCTGGACATAGTTCACAGCGGGTTTTGTCCATGTTGTTTAGACTGCTGTTGGCACGCAGGTTTAGACTTAACAGTGAGTCATCGATCACAAGTTTCATCATTGTCGCAGTGTTCGTCCATAATAAATACAGTGATCGCACTATAAGATCATACTTGCTGTAGTGTATAATATTGCAGCGTTCTTAGATTACACTCGTTGTTACGACAAAACATGTAACACGTGGCAGCTTTATTGTGGATGTTAATTTGTTGCTTGTGGCTGGTTTATTGTGGTGCCGCTTTTTGGTTTGACCCTCCTTTACTGCAGTAATAATCACAATCAGCGTGTGCCGTGCCAATGAAAGTGGACAGCCATAGTTTGCGAGTTGAGAGAACCGTGTGTGTATGTGTGGAGGACAGCCATATATAAATATATTTCCCTAGATACTTGGCAAGTATGCGATGTATTTACCCGAATGCGCGCGTCGTTGTTAATGTGCATTTAGACAGGAATTTCTCCCCTTAATCCCCCTTTCCTTCCCCCCACCCCCAACCCCTATAGAAAATGTGTAAGTGGACAGTCCCTCATTCTATTCCTGAGCACACCCCCACCCCTCACCTCTCAATGTTTTCTTTGTATGATTTATATATATATATATATATATATATATATATATATATATATATATATATATATATATATATATATATATATATATATATATATATATATACATTTATATATATATATATATATATATATATATATATATATATATATATATATATATATATATATATATATATATATATATAGCATTGGCTAAATGGAAATGAAAGAAAATAGAAATCGCACGTGTCTAATACAATCATTGTCTGCTCAGATAAGAGATAGTCTTTGATCCCCCCCCCCCCCCCTCTCACCACCACAACTAAATCCATCTACTGCTCTCTCCCTCATCAAAGGTTTTTGGAAAAGAAAGAATGGAAATCGCTCGTGTCTGATATAGTTAATGTCGCAATCATTTTCTGTACAGATATAGAGATAGTCTGGTTTTCCAACTTTAGAACACGCACCTTATAATTGTGTCTTTATATTATTGGTCGTTTAAATGGTGTTATTAGCACAGTAACAAAAATGGTTATTTGGTTATCACACGCTAAAGCTGTTTGTATTATTATAGGAGACGGAAGTAAAGCTACAACTGTACTTGTAAATAACAAAGTAAGTCGTAAAAAATAGAAAAGCGGATGTAGCATTAGTAAAATATAAACAAATTAGGTAATAAGAACTTGAAAATCACATGTAAAGCTCTTTAAGTTCTCCTAAATTTAAGTCATTACCCCCTCCCCTCCCCTCTTCCACCGACTACTGCTCTCTCCCTCTTCGAAGGATTTGAAAATCATTACCTGGCGATATTTTTGTTGTTGCTGTAACTGACATTGACATCCCTGTCCATCCGGACTAAAATGGGGAGCAGGAATTGTAATAGGTAGTGAATGGAGCTAGTGTAATATTTACCACATCATCCTTCAAGTACCAGTACAACTACCACCACGACCACCACCACAGTAGCTAAAATAATGTCACTGCTATCTGTGTTACCATCGGAGTAGACAGAGAGTCGTGAGCCAGAAGATTAGGTTCCGCATGGCTAGTGCTGTCGCCACAGACTGGTCAGGTTAGGATGTATAATTTCGCTTCCTGACAGAAGAAGAACGCCATAACCTTACCGGCGGTCTTCACATGAGAGCACTACGGTGTAACAGCCCAACCACAACTATTACTGCTGCTGCTACTTTTAGTGGGTAAAGCAGTTACTGTGACTTAAAGCTCTCTCAGTTAACAGTCCCCCCCCCCCCCCCCCCCCCCCCTTTCCAAAAAAATATTCACCGACAACTCTTTCTCTCATTGAAGTAGTTGGAAGAAAAAAAAACAACACTTGCAAAGCAAATGAAAACAGGAAAAAAAAAACCATAATTAGGAAATGAACGCTATGGTAAACAGAAGAGCTTAAAATTCCAACGCAGATGAAATAACTAAATCTAAATGAAAATAAATGGAAAGCTATGAAATTTCAGCGTAACCATGCAATCGGAAAGTTTAAAAATGCAATCATAAGTATGCGAAATGGTCAAATTTAATTATCAAATAGTTTACCCATTTACTTGTCTTTCTTCTTTTTTTTTTTTTTTTAGTATTAAGGGCAACATGGCTAGTGCTGTCACCACGACAGAGCAGATAAGGATATTATTTTAGCCCGGGGTAAAAAAAAATTACTTCTGCGGATTCGAACCCTGGTCTCCCGCACAGGAACCCAGTGTTGTAACCATTCGACCAAGCAGCCACTTCATAGGAGCAACGAAAAGAGAACTAAACTATCGAGATGTGTGACCCTACTACTATTGTGTCTGATTATAATACAACTCAAAACCGCAGGCAATTGTTTTCTCATAGACAGATACTCCAGATATATTAATGAAACGGCACAACAATAGAAATCGCACGTGTCTAACACGGTTAATGAAGTTAATGTCGCAGTCAATGTCTGCACCGACGTCGAGATAGTCCTTGATGCCCCCCATCCGCCCTTCCCATCAAAGGTTGTTTGGAAAAAAAAACAGAAAATAGAAATCGTGTTTAATATGGTTTTTGTGGCAATCACTGCCTACACAAATATAGAGATAGTCTTGTTTGCTGTACCACGACCTACTCTATGTTATAAGAGAAGGCGTTGGCTGCACGTAACTCGCCGGCGAATAGCGGAAGACTTGCGTTCTGACTACTGCGCATGCGCAGTTACTAACGTGGCTATAATTAGATGTCACTAACAATTTAAATATTAGTTTCGAATATTTTTGCTTAAATTGTGGTCACCTATCTCTAACAGTGACAGGTTAAATTTCAAACCATGATGGTTTAACATCCGGTATCAAAACAAACATATCCTGAAAATTTCAGCTAAATCGGTTCAGTAGTTTCCGAGTCTATAGGGAGCAAACAAACACACAAACATTGATTTTATATATATATATATATATATATATATATATATATATATATATATATATATATATATATATATATATTACAAACAGTCGGAGACATTGAATCAAAATTTCGATAGCTAGTGAACAAAAATGCACCACACAAACCCAAACCTTCCAGTAGGTCGCCCGTCCATACAGATGTATATATCATAGTCAACATTATAGACATCGCTAGAATCACTTATGATGACCACACCAGATGAAGTCACAACCATGTCGTTCAAGTGTACGGGTCGCCTCCCATTGACGGGCGTGTTGGTTGAATATAAAAGTCGAAAGTCTCCTGAACAGACAAGTAATCTTTCAGTATACGACTGTAAGCAAGGCATCTTAATAGGAAAAGCACAAAAAACAAAAGTAACTTGAACAATTCTGAAACAAATCGATACATTTGAGAATTGGAGTACCATGATAGCAGCAGATATAAATATTTTTAAAGACGTTAAATGCAAAATAGCTTAAGCAATTGTAGCACTTCACACAATAATCAATATTCTATACACTGTTCGTTTTCAGTTGAAGTTAAGAATAGAGCTATTGCTATATAGTACCAATTCTGATACATGGAAGTGAATAACGGACAGTTAGCCGATCATTGAAAATGTCTGTGGAAGCCATCAAAACCAGCCTATGAATCTGTCCGGAGTGCTATGATGATAAGCCCCACCAACTGGTTTATTCTCCATAACTGCATAAAGGGGCACGATCTAAATTCTTTGGATACGTCTTGAGTTGATTACCCGATGCCACAGGTGTGGACTTTCAGAAGAAGCAACAGTGACGTGTGACTTGTAACATCGGGAACATTTAAACCGCTATGGTAATAATCAGTAGGGAGATGAAAACCAAATAAATATTGATAGAGCGTATGACGTTGGTCAACTTTAATTATGTTAATTTTGTGATCACTAACTTACTGTTGTATTTTATCTTATCACTTTTCTCCCTGAGTCAGTGTCATCCCCTTGTGGGATAAAATTTTTGGTTATTTGAAGTCCTGCTCTGGCTCTTGCCAGGGGCCGCAATACAGAGCGGCCATAAATACGGTCTGCTGGCTGAACGCGGTTTCTGGGACCTCTCCACGGCGATCCTCATCCGCATGGTGGCACTTTGTGTCATGAAGGTGTGAAATTAGGAAGGGAATAGACACAGGGGCGAAATTGGTTTCAGACATGATCAGATCTGATCATTTGATTAAAAAAGTGGCAAACGCATGAATGGCAGCAATGGTCTTGAAATCTCATACATGAGATTGTTTGCCTCCCTCTCTGAAGGTCGTAGATTCATTTCATTAGCTGCGGTTCACAAGTTCACTTCAGGGGATCGAAAAAGTGGGTGGGGGTAAGTGGGGAATCACAGCCCATTGCGATAAAAGTTAAGGCAAGTGATAGAGTTCCTCCTTTCCACAGCACAAAGACTGGAGCAGTTTTATAGAAACCATATGTTGTTTTTGCAGCGTGATACCCATCTTGGCCTGCTTTGTTAACCCCAACGTAAACGTAACACCAATACGTTTGCAATAGAGCACGCTGAAGAAACTACCAGATCAGAAGACCAGAGCACTCACTATCAGCCTGCAGTAGCTTCTGTCCGCGAGCAGCTGTCAACCAAAGCTAAGGGTCTGGTCTGCCCTGCCATAACATGCAGTTTTCAGGTTTCACCTCTGTTTCCTGGGATAAGGTTAGTATCTCCAAAATGCGCATCTCAGCCCAAAGTCGTTGACACAAATGCGATGTGTGGAATGTGTTATTTTACTCCTTGAAAAAGACTGGTTGAAACATTGGAATGTATCTGTACACTTCTCTAATATCCCTCCGTTAAGCCTTCAAGTCATGTATAGATATTTTTTTTTCTTTACATTATTTGTTCAGTTAAAGTGTGTAACTAACATGATGCTTATAGTTTAAGTACAGCTAACGATTCCGGACATTGTAATTGTTAGTTCATTCATGCTTCCTGACCTTTCACATCCACGACTCTCTGTTACAGTGTGTCAGGTTGTATTTTCTTCGACGCTCTCATCGACGACGACGCCTGCTTTAAATTACACGACATGGCCGCTTCTAAGGGGTCACTACACCAAAAAAAATTTTTTTTTATTTACAGACTTAGAGCAGTTATTTTATAATGGTCGTTTGTAGGGATACATGTTATTACATTTGTATACTTAAAGTGTTAAAAAATCATAGTTGTCATGGCAATAAGCGCCATCTTGTGAAAAAAAAAAAACAATACGTACTTAAAATCCTACAATTTCAAAAACAAACCTAGATATTTAACAATGGATGATGGATCCATGACCTTATATCTTATTTAGAGGTACAGGTCTAGATTATTTACTTTAAACGTGTTTTTAAATATTTTTCGTAGAATTTTAAAATGTAGGTTTATTGAAAAAGTAAAAAAAATCGAGCATCATAAGACAATAATCATATTTTAGAAAACAAAGTCTTTCTAAAATCTACTTTTAGATAGACCAGTCCCTGTAATATTGTTTGTGAAGTATGCATACAAAACTTCATGTCTCTACTCTTTATATTAGCTTAGATTTTATGATTTCACAGACACAGCAAACTGAAATATAGAGATTTGAGAAAACTGACTTTTAAACTTTTTTTTATCTTAAAAAAGTGCACGAGGTGGTGTCGTTAGTATTAACTTTTCAATGCTAAATTGTTTACAAATAACATAAATTTTGTGTGTCATCTATTCTACGAATGCCGAACTTCACAAAAACGAACACATTGAAAAAGTGATATTTTTGTCATAAATTGGGAAAAATGCCGTGTAGTGACCCCAAGGACAACAGAAGGTCTAGAACTGGCCCTAACCCCAAACCCCACACCATAGCCTCAGCCTACTTCCCACGAGAGACTGCAGCCGCCCCATGCTTTCAGAACTGTTAACATTTTGCGGCCGGCCCTCTTTGTCGGTCGGCAACGCTGACAACTGAAGTAAATTACTGTCATATTTCAAGTCCGAGAAAGCTAGAATATACGCAATTTCGCCTGACGCACAGAACAATTAGTAAAACACACCCTGTGCATGGCCAATCACAGGTCTCCCAATATATATATATATATATATATATATATATATATATATATATATATATATATATATATATATATATACACACATACATAATAAAACACAACTTGACTTCCCTCTGACTCAAACTAGCACATGTTAGAGGTTACCAAACATCAAAGAAAGCCCAATTACGTTCTATTAGGACCAGTAATCGTTACTTGAACCGTCGTTTCATAAATAAATGACCACAGACCTACCGGTTACAGGATTGACAATGAACAATCCTCTGAATGTATCAAGTGCCAGAAGGTAATCACTTGCAGGATACCGTCGTAAGCTTGTAATGTGACCGCACTCGTATTTACTTGCTGTTAGATCAGAGTAAAAGCACAATGACATACTACTGCAGTGTTTTACAACTTGGAGCTCATGCTCCACGGATGGGGGAGGGGAACGGGGGGGGGGGGGGTGCGGGGGGCATTGGGTTGTTAAGTCCGAACATTTAATTTTAAGGGGGGCAGTTAGAAAATGGCCCCGTCTAGTGTTTATGTTACATAGGGAGCATAACAATTTTAAAAAGGCTTAGATGGGGCTTGGAACAAACAAAACAGATTGGGAAACACTGTGCTACTGATTTAATGTAAGACACGTAATTATTTATATATGTCTCTGCACCCAGAATAATCATGGGGTACAATGAACAAAGTAGCTGTTATAAAAGTAACTCACAGCAAATAGACAGCTCTGCCAGTGTCCAGTTGAATTTATGCCAAACAGTGATAACACAGTAACAGAATAATATATATATATATATATTATATATATATATATATATATATATAATATATATATATATATATATATATTATATATATATTATTATTGGCAAAATACTGAGAAAAAACTATTTCACAGTTTGACCTTATTGCATACGTGTTAATATAACACAGCATTCTCCTGTTTCCATGAGACCTAATCGTGTTGTATCCGTTTACAGCGAAACTGTGATTTTTACACCTAGGGGCCAATACATTCCACATTTTTGCTATGAGTCTCCCGCTTGCATAGTCACTTGGACGGCTGCACTGAACTCCAGAAGAACGCAGATATTACAGCCCTTGCTGTAAATCGTAAAATGCAAACCGACTTCTTGAGACGAAAGCAGACAAGGAATTGAGAAGCAACATCGTTAAATGGCGTATAATCCTGAATAACAGTCACAAGCCATCTGTCCGTGTTGTGTTAACCGTGATAAGTATTTAGTAGTAAGGTAAAGATAACCCTAGATCAGTTAGGATGAGTTGAGTTGAGTCAGGAATTGACATTACAGCACTCGAGGTATTCCCATGCATGTCTCGTCCTCATCCTCAGCAGCCATCAGGTACCGGTCACAATCTGGTTATGTGTCCGTCTTGCCTTTTCTTTGAGTGTACTAAGCCGGCCAGCCCCTCTCGTTACACACAGGTGCCTCATTCTGTCCGGACCATAATGATCTTCTATCTCTACTGGTTCCGTAGATTATTGCAGATGCTGTCCTTGAGATATGAAATATTATTAGGCCGTCACCTTTTCTAGGGAATTACATAAAACGATTATCACAGCCTACCCACACTGGACTACACGTTCTTTAGTAATCATTTTTTTTTCTTTCTGCTACGCGATTTGTGCCCCTTTTTTCTCATTTTCGAGATGTTTAGCCTAAAGTGTGCAATCCTGGAGGCTAAACTCTTAATACTACTAAAAATAAATTAGAATGGCTAGTGAATTTTTACGCCGCCATCCATATTAGAGCATTTTCCAAGATACAAATCTCAAAATTAACCGGTACGTAAGCACTAATGAAAATACTAGTGGCCTATCTGGAATATGGTGGTAGACTCCTATTTTGATAGACCAATGGGAACTCGAAGGGTGATGAAGTCAACATCACGTTGCACGCCTTTGCTTCCAGCGCCCTAATCTTGTACCAATTTTAGGCTGGGTCTACCTGGGAATCAAGGTCAATGCTGGGGGGAAAATGCGACTTGATATAGGTTTAAACCCATGACCTTCTGACCAGCAGGTGAACGCCTAGCCGCTACACCATTGCGGCTCGTAAATTAACCGGTTGCCATATGATACAGCTTGGACAACCCAGAACCTTTCTGGCTGCATCATTGCATTCCCTGATCTTGGTGTCTATGTACAGTGCCAAGTATACAGTAGCGGACCTCGTTTTACTGCAGAATGATTTGGTATACACTAGTCATCAACTACGCATCCACACCATGAGTGGAGATCTGGAGAGATCTACACTCCTTAGACATGTTACAATGCACATGATGAGGGGAAATTACCACAATACCATTGATGCAAGATTGGGAAAATTAACATTAAAAGAATACTATTCAACACAATATTCTTACCAACACCATGCTATCAGTAGCAAACAAGGACATTGTCTTCAGAAGGCAGAAAGAAAATAGTCACGACAGAAATAAAATGTTTACGGATCATGCGTATAAAAAAAGCAGACTTGGGAATGATGATATCAGGAGGAGAGTCAGCACAGAATCAATAGGGAACAGATCAAATGGTTTGGTCATGTAACAAGACTGGCAACAGACGCGGCACCACAGTGAGAAATGTTATACAGATGCAGTGGTGACACATTCAGCTGTCGACCCTGCAGAATATGGACCGCGGAAATATCGCAGACACTGACAAGTACTATATAACAATTGAATAGAAAGGCCGATGCCAGAGATCTCTTTCTCCGATGATGCTGCGAGACATTCCAGGAGTAAAGAAAAGAAGAGGAAGTATCGGGTTATATCCTGTGAAGCTGACCACATCATCCACGAGTTTCGACTGGTTTACAAAACTGAGTCCAGCCTCATATGTCTGATGTGCCCGTGGTGTAGATGATCTCTTTACTTACTGAATTATTATAGTCTACTTCTGAAGTCGTGCCCGCCTTTAAAAAACTGTAACTCAGTGTAAACAAACATCTAGTTTTCGGTTTGCCTTTTTCAAACAACAAATTGCAGGCGTTTTCACTTTCAACTGGTCATCTCCAGAATTAGCCTACTGTGATTTACTTGTACACAATTTTTCATCGTATGCAGGTTAGGTTATCAAGATAACCACCACGCATCGCTGCACACAGGAACTGATTTCCAAACAATCTCCCCTCATGTGTCATATACTGTATATTCTAAAAAAAAAGATAAGATATTTGGCGCATTAAAAAACAGCATTGTCTGTGCAATTTTATAATCAAATAAACATGGAAAATCTAACGTTAAATGCAAACATTCCTGTTGACTCATATAGGAATTTTCAAGATTTTTTTTATCGTGTTAGGACACGACTATTGAAACGCGCTATATAAATATATATATATATATATATATATATATATATATATATATATATATATATATAATAATCAATGTTTGTGTGTTTGTTTGGTCTCTATAGACTCGGAAACTACTGAACCGCTTTAGCTGAAATTTTCAGGATATGTTTGTTGTGATACCGGATTTTGAACCGTCGTGGTTTGAAATTCAACCTGTCACTGTACTAGAGATAGGTGACCACAATTAATGCCAAAATATACGCAACTAATATTTATAAGGATTTTTATTTGATTTCTAAATATAGCCACGTTAGTAATTGCGCATGCGCCGTATTTATCGCCGGCGAGTTACGTGCAGCCACGCCTTCTCTAATACTAAATACATAGAGTAGGTCGTGGTACAGCAAAACAAGACTATCTATATATTTGCCACAATAACCATATTAAACACGATTTCTATTTTCTGGTTTTTTTTTCAAACAACCTTTGATGGGGGGTGGGGGGGGGGGGGAATCGAGGACTATCTCGACGTTCGGCGCCTACAGTGACTGCGATAATTAACCGTGTTAGACACGTGCGATTTCTATTTCATTAATATATCTGGAGTATCTGTCTACGAGAAAACAATTGCCTGCGGTTTTGAATTGTGTTTTAATCGCGACACAGTGGTAGGGACACATATGTCTAATAGTTGTGTTCTCTTTTCGTTGTTCTGATTAAGTGACCTGGGTTCGAATCCTCAGTAGTTAAATTTTTTTTTTTATTTTACCTTGAACTAAAATATATCCTCATCTGCTCTGTCGTGGTGGACAGCACTAGCCTTTGTTGCCTTAATATTAAAAAAAAAAAAAGTAAATGGGTAAACCATTTGTAATTAAATTTGACCATTTCGCATACTTATGATTGCATTGTTAACTTTCCGATTGCACATGGTTCGCTGAAATTTTAGTAGATTTTTCATTTATTTTCATTTAGATTAGTTTATTTCATCTGGTGGTGGATTTTAAGCTGTGCTGTTTACAATGGCGTTCATTTCCTAATTATGGTGTTTTTTTTCCTGTGTTCATTTGCTTTTCAAGTGTTGTGTTGTTTTTTTTCTCCCACCTACGTTCCCTGTGGTAAAGTTGTCGTGTAGGTGATTGGGGGGAGGGGGGGGGGGCAAACTATTAAATTAACTGAGAGAGCTTTAAAGTCCAGTAACTGCTTTAACCCCGCTTAAAGTAGCAGCAAGCAGTAATAGTTTTGTGTTGGGCTGTCACACATTATGCTCTCATGTGAAGACCCGCCTGTAAGTTTAGGCGTTCTTGCTGTCGGCAAGTGAAATTATACATCCTAACCTGACCAGTTCTGGGCGACAGCACTAGCCATGCGGAACCAAATCTTCTGGCTCACGACTCTCTGTCTACTCTCCGATGGTAACACAGATAGCAGTGACATTATTTTAGTAGTTGTACTGGTACTTGAAGATGATGTGTGGTAAATATTTCACTAGCCCTAACACTTCACTACCTTTTACAATTCCTGCTCCTTATTTTAGTCCAATGGGACAGGATGTCAGTGTCAGTTACAGCAACAACACAATATCGCCAGTTAGTGATTTTCAAATCCTTCGAAGAGGGAGAGAGCAGTAGTCGGTGGAAAGAGGGGAGGGAGGGAGTAATGACATAAATTTAAGAGAACTTAAAGAGCTTTACAACGTGTTTTCAAGTTCTCATTACCTAATTTGTTTATATTTTACTAACGCTACCCTCCGCTTTTCTATTTTTTACGACTTACTTTGTTATTTACAAGTACAGTTGAAGCTTTAACTTCCGTCTCCTATAAAAATACAAACAGCTTTAGCATGTGATAACCAAATAACCACTTTTGTTACCGTGCTAATACACCATTTAAACGACCACTAATATAAAGACACAATTATAAGGTGCGTGTTCTAAAGTTGTGAAACCAGACTATCTATCTATATATCTTCTATATATATAACAAATCAATGTTTGTGTGTTTGTTGGTCTCTATAGACTCGAAAAC